TCAGTGCGTTAAAGACTCAAAGGTTTTTATTGCCAATTGGCAGCACGTACAGGAGAATAGGAATACTGTTTCTCACCTTACTGTACAGAAGAATATAGAAAAGTAAGAGTTAAGAAAGATGAAGGACACTCAAACCTATGTACAATAATGCAATACTGCAAGTTTTTATTTAGTTATCGTCGCGCTCTGTCAGAAAAACATTATTACACTGGTACACGCTGAATTCTACCGCCAGCATGGCGTGGCTTCTGCTTGGGACGCATTGTTCTGAACAGCTGGGAGGATTTTAACCACAAATAAACGGGTTCAGAGCGACAAAGTACCAGCTGTGCTGCGGCGCTTTCCTTCAACACGGCTTTGCTCAGTGGCACCAAGTGTCCAGCAATCGAAAGCAGACCGAAGGCAGAACCATTACAGGGGTCAGAACTTGAGTGGTGGAGGTTTACAGCAAAGGAGAAAAACTATATTTGTGCAACAAACACAAAGAGGAAGTGACTGAAGTGTTTGATAAGCATTCCCTACTCTCCAGTCAGATCCTGATGCTGAGGGGAACATACCTCTTGTGTTTGCAGGTCAGCATGGCCTCGGAGATCGGACACAGGTGAGAAACAGCCGCTCCGGCCAAATACTGAGAAACCCGACTGGCTACACCCACAGGATCTGTCAGAAACAAACCACATCACATCCTGTGGTTTTTATCCTGGGTCCAAAAAACACTTGGAGAGGTTGGATTTGTGTTTGTGCGTTTGAAGAGACAGAGCTACTCTCAGCCAGAGCAGCATGCTTCAACCAGTAAATGACACAAAGAAGAGGCCAAACGACAGAGTCTCATCTCATATAAATGCTTGTTTGACTGAAACCAGCTCATTAAACTGCTGCTAAGATGTCAGGCTGCAATAATTGTGAGGAAACCTACCGAGAGGAGGCGGCTCCGGGCGTCCAAACAGCTCCCTCCAGCCGGCGTCCATGAACAAACCGCTGAACTTCCCATCCAGGGAAGACAGGTACTTGGCCAGCGGGTGGACTCCTGCAGAGAAACGCATTAGAGGAAGGTTCATGAGCCAAAACATGCTGTCCACCAGCCTAATGAGCTGCCTCACATGAACTCTACATAGCTTTAAGGAGCTCTACTCAGATCTAAAGAGAGCTGTGGATCTTTAAGCTTTCACCAGCAGCTACTGGAAACGCAGCTGGTACGAGTAAAGTTCTCACTGTGTCAGGGGAAAGGATGTAAGAAGCTTCAGGTCTTTACCCAAAACTCAACACATGAAGCACCTGCTCACTGATCCATGTCGGGGTCATTGGTCAAAAGAAGGAATGTAGGTCACTCCATCTGTAACCTGACAAATTTAAAACACTTTCTGATCAAATGTCTCTGATTTCAATACAATTTTTTATCAAGTATAAACATAGAGAGATGGAGAGTGAATGAATGAATGGTGGTGAAAATGAAAAAAAGGAAACAGAATGTAAGAAAGGGTTAGAGCACAAGTAGAAAAGTGCACTGGGTCACCAACTGCTGCACCTGCACTGGGATAAGAACAGCACCCCTATTCCCCACAGCCCACCACGGCGGGGAATAGTGGATCCAGGGCCCGCAATGACAACACCCCACAGCACCATCTGCATGCTGTGACCGGTCATCCACTCAATCGACAACAGACACACAGAAAAGGAACGAGACGGGACGGTCCGAGTCGGAGTCAAGTCTCCTCTTTGGACTTAGGTCTTGACATATCCTCTGCCAGACACTCTGAACAGGCGTCCAGGACCATGCAGCACGCATGCAGCTATCAGCAGAGATGCCTGTGCAGGGGTTTCAGGCTGGAACACCAGAACATCCTTTGTCTGGTATCCGGTCGTTCAGTCTGACGTCACTAGCCGTGTCTGGGTCTAAACTCCGCTGCAGGTCCATATATCAAACGATCACTGTGGCATTACTGAGAGTTGAAAAACTGTCTAAAGTCTTTCATCTTTAATAAATGATCAGCGTTTCTGCTCTACCAGGTGTAACAATTGAGTTAACATCCAGGCATCATGAAAACGTAATTTATGACATTTAACGGAGTTAGAATTAGCAGGAGTTAGCTCGCTAGCTTCTATCTAAATACAATATAGCATGTCCTGACTGCGGGGTTTTGGAAACAAATTAAAACGTACAGCTCTGTTATCACTTCCAGCATAAATGAGACAGAAAACTAACAGCACTGACGTTTGTAGGGTTACTGAATGGGCTAGCTGGTATATAATGATGTGCTACTGACGCTAGCGACACAGCTATGTTAGCATAATATAAACAAGCTAACTTTTTTTCCACTCGATAAAAGTTACCGTGAGTGTTCTCGGTGGTCAGGAACAAATGTAATCGCATGGCAGGATGCTGTAAAAGGACCAAACTTCAGCCAGGAGAACAACTGAGATAATCCATCCACAATACGAGGTTAGTCATTCATATACTGCTGCATAGGCTGGCTGTAGTTATCCTAAGGTTAAAAACTGAGCTTAAATAAATGATTAGCGTATAAACGGGAGGTCAACAGTGATCACTGACTGTTTAGGAGCTTTTTGAGATCAAATAGAGAAAATACAAAAATTAACATGTTAACAACACAAAAGCCATATTAAACACAGACTACTTTAGACCCGGAAGTAGGATTCGTCACGTCATCACTTAACGACCGGATTGTGTGTCAAACTGAGAGTTTTGTACTGTGTATTTGGGACATTAGTCATCGTGACTCCACATGTTTGTGTCCAGATGTTTTGACCTGGGTTGATGCACCATCGACAGCAGCTCCCTGTCCTAACACGTCTGTAGGTTGTGAAAGAAACGCATCGAGTTACACAAGCAATAATTGTATTTCCTCCAGGATGTTACAGTCACGTATAAACCTGTAATATGGAAGCTCATCAAACAGCAGCTCTGGTTTTGGATGAATGGCTTTCATCTCTAAAATAAATGCAAGCTTTTATTAGCCTCACATAAATGATAGAAATATACTGGTCCCAGCACTGTGACTTACAGGATTGGCTTTTTGGATTTAAAGGTCAGTTCTTCCAAAGTGATTTGCATATTTTTGTCTCTATCAACTCCTGCGAGGGGATCCTTTATGAACAATCTCTGTGTCTGTATTCACTGCTGCATGCACTGTGTGCTTTCAGAAGATATTTTCTGAACACCTGAATGAACAGGACGAAGGAGCCGTGAGTCCAATGAGATGTAAAAAGGCTTTGAGGAGCTGCTTTATTAAATCGTCTGTGACTTCACCTGTCCAAGCAACTGCTTTTAAACCGTCACATTAAGACTCAAAACATTATTATAGAAATAATGGTTCACTTCTCTCTGTTTTCTCCACATAGAGATGTTACTGTGGATAAAGAGAAACCATTTCTTTGTTTTAAAGCAGTTTGGTGAACACTGATTACTTTGGCACATTCACAGTAAGAGGAGCACACTTCCTGGAAACACTGACTGCTCTGGAGCATCTAAAATACGTGCCAGTCAAAACCATGACAGCTAAGATAAATAAATATAAGTCCCACATTTGAGCACACAGTAATAAAAACTTCACATTGTTAAAGAATGGTGTATTTGTCATGGTTAGCAGGGCAAACCCAAGACTCAGGCACTACTGATATGAAGGAGCTTTATTACAGTTTTTCTCAGTTGCTTTGGTGCATTTCTCATAACAGAATTAAACTTTGCACAATAGTTAGTTCAACCTCCACAACATGTAGTCGTTTTGGCACAACCTTGTGGCGGTTTCATGTTCAAGGCAAATGCCTTTGGACATGAAGCAGTTGAGTAAGTACAAATATCTAAAGAATGGTCACTTTTGACTTGCTATTCATCACTATCTCCTTGCTTTTATCATCCATCCATCCATTCGCTTCCGCTTATCCTTTTCAGGGTCGCGGGGGGCGCTGGAGCCTATCCCAGCTGTCATAGGGCGAGAGGCAGGTACACCCTGGACAGGTCGCCAGTCTGTCGCAGGGCTAACACACAGGGACAGACAACCATTCACATCAATTCACACCTAGTGACAATTTGGATTATCCAATTAACCTATCCCCACAAGCTGCATGTCTTTGGACGGTGGGAGGAAGCCGGAGTACCCGGAGAGAACCCACGCAAACACGGGGAAAACATGCAAACTCCACACAGAAAGACCCCGGCCTGATGTTGGAATTGAACTCAGGACCTTCTTGCTGTGCGGCAACAGTGCTAACCACCGTGCCATCTCCTTGCTTTTATCATGAATGTCACAATTATTTATACTTGTACCGGCTGAATAGTCATTGTCCTTACAACTAATAGTCTTCATTTCATTGCTTGTGTCAGTGCACTCAAAATTGTTGAACATCTTGTCAAACAATTTGTACACCCATTTTGAAAACCCTATTTTTAAGGAGTTTCCATGAAAATCTCCATAAATTACTTTTCTCAGGTGAACCTTATCTCACACTAATGAAAATTGGTGTGTGTTACTCTTACTTGCAACCAATGAAAAGCCTCTTCAAGGTTCAAGGTTCAAGGTTCTTTATTTGTCACATGCATAGTTATACAAGTATAACACACAGTGAAATGTAGCCTGACACGCTCCTCGACATGTGCAAAAAAATTGGGGGTGGGGGTGTAGAGGAAGAACATTATATATATATATATATATATATATATATATATATATATATATATATATATATATATATATATATATATTGCTATAACAGTGATCAGACAAGAGACAAGAGGATGCAAAGGGGTCTGCATGGGATCCTACTACACGCCTTTGGAACAGAGGATCGCAAGTTCGATTCCTGCCTGGGGCGTCTGTATCCAGTAAGGGTCCTAAGGCTAGACCCCCTATGCTAAGCAAGCCTACCGCAGACATGAGCGAGACAGATAAATATGAAGGCATGCCGGCTCGGACGTCGCCCGGATCAACAAGGTCCGCGTCAGGTGTTGAGGAACCAGGGCACCCTGACGAAAAGTGGGCTACTGGAACAAGAAGGCATCGGTGGGCAAGGGACGAAAACAGGGCGTTGTTGGAATGCTACTACGCAAGTAACCCCGGCGGAAGGGGCTACATGAATAGGATGAGGGACCTATGGATTCTTCGATACCCAACATCCAATGACGGCGAAACAACTAGTAGCTCAGTGTTCCAACATTCGAAGAAGGGACTGCTCTACAGCTAGAGATTGACGAGGTACAACAAATGTACGGCAAGGAGGATCAGGACGCCAGGTCAGGGGGGATATCATCACCCCACCCGAGATTGGGTACATAGCCCAAGTGCGATAGGAAAGGATCGTTGAGTGCGAGAGGAACTGACCTGAAAAATAGGATCATGGCCAAGGCTTGAAATCCTGCCCGTAGCCGGTTACAAGATTACGTGAAGTACCCTCAGAAGGTCTGTAGATGATGTTAATGCAGCACTACGGGCAATACCTACAACCACGATTACGACACTAACAGCTGATCTACAATACGGCAGCAGTGATCAGTGAGATGCTTGGCTACAAGTTGAACAGCCACAAGGGCAGTACCTCCATGGAGAAGGAGGCTAGAGGGCAAGATCAAAGTGCACGGAGGGAAGTAGCCAACTAACGGAGTTGCAGAAAGGTGCGACGAATAAGGTGCCTAAGAAATACAGCAAGCTGTCCATACCTGAGGCCTTGGAACTGCCAAGCAAGACTCACGCCTTGGCCAGCCGCTTGAGGAGGTACACCAGAGAGATGAAGGCGAGAATAAACAGCTGTCTCCACAGAACCAGCAAAGGTGTACTCCAGTGGCAAGGGAAAATAAGAGAACAGCACCACCAAGGCTGGAGACGGAGCAATACTGGAAGAGCATATGGGAGAAGGATGCAACCCATAACGGCAATGCTCAGTGGCTAGAGGATCTGAGGGCAGACCAAGCGACCTCCTGAACAGGGTCCAGTAACCATCACAGTGGCAGATATCCAAGAAAGGGTCTCCAGTATGAAGAGTTGGACAGCACCAGGGCCCGACATGGTTCACGCC